GTTCAATTATTATATAGCTGAAATTAGTCTAGTATCGTCTTTTAACTGAGATTTTAATACGAAAGACTCAAGACGATAATAATGAAAACAATCCCAATACTTGAACTTTGATCAAAGTCAAGTCGCAGTTGCTCTAACTGGGATCAAAAACATGTTGAGCGAATTGGGTGAATAAACAGTCAATTTATATATATATATATATATATATATATATATATATGTATATATTTCAATTGGAATTAACACTCCTTATTAGTTATGATTAACCTTGCCAATGAAAAGCTGTTGTATTGCAGATGATCAAGAAAAGATGCAAGAAACAAACCCCCGTTAAGAAAAATTCCTTCGCTGAAAAAAGTCAACAAATTGATAAACTCGCTGGTCGTTTCTGTCTTGATCTTGACTCTTTAGTTGAAGAGAAAGCAAATATCATGGAACTTACTGTGCAGGCAATATGTTTATTTTGAGTTTTCATGACAAATCTGGGAATTCTTAATACTTCTTACTTTTCCACGTCCTTTTAGCGACTAATATTATTACAGAAGCAATTCTGTGTCAGGAATCTCTAAATCACGAGATACTATGTAAGTATTGTGTCCATTTGACACATCGTATTATGTCATTTCGAGATAACCTTAGAATTCTGATTTCAGTTCATTTCTTGTATTGAACGGCTACTTCATTGTTGATCCGTCGTGTTAACGTTAAATTTTGTTCCAGGAGCGAAATGTAGACTTTTTGGATAATATTGATCAGTTAGACGATTGTTCAAATCCAATAAAAGGTGGAGAGTATGCGAAAGAAGAAGGATTTCCTGATGTCTTAGACTTGTCCAGGTAGGATACCTTCTTAAATACGTCTTCCATCGAAATTCAAACCAGTACTAATATATGTTAGTTTTTTTTTTTTCTTTTTTCTAATTGGTATGAATATCTCCTCTGAATACAAGATATGCTTTGAAGTTCAGAAAGATTTGAATCTGTGTCATTTATTATCTTTCAGGTATTATAATGGCCTTGGTAATTCTGTAAAAAATTTGTCAGCAAATGGAAAAAGCTTTTTTGCAATAGAGTTCGATAGGATCCATGGTAGAATCGATGGTAAAATATTTTCACACTTTTTTATATTTATATTATCATTTTTTTCTATCCATACTTTTTGTTCTGATATTCGGTATCGTCTTTATGCCACTTTCTGTTCACTTTTGAAATATTTAAAAGATAGGATAAAAACTCAATTGTTCATTAACTGATGTAATATAAACAGCTGAATTTTTTTTGTGTTCAAGTTATAAATTAAGATTTTTGGTTCTTATTGTAGATTGCGATAGAGCTGAAGCTTCAACTTCAGTTACTACAAAATCGATTGACGATATCAACGATATAAGAGAAATTGAGCTCGAGAACTTGCGAAGGATAGAGAAAATGAGCAAACAAGAGATTGAGAAGGCGAAACAAGAAATTGTGGAACGTTTTGGTGAATTTTTTGCGAATTTTCGCGAAATGTACGTTGCGAGTTTTCGTGAATTGTGCGTTCAGGGAAAGGAAACTGATGAAATTAAAAAATTTGTTGATAGATAAAGAAAAATGAACTAATGTTAATAAATGGTAGTAAAATATGCATATTTTCGGTTTTAGATCCAAAATTGCTGGATTTCTTACGAAACAGAGCAAAAAAAGAACAGCAGCGAAAAGCGAAAGAAATTGAACCAAGTATAATTTTATGCCTGATTTGTAATTTCATACCTAGTAATCTTAAATAATAATGTCACTTTTTGATGTAAAAAGTGCTCTTCACTCGACGCTTTCTCTTACAATCTGAACAGAGTTCTAGAATATGTTAAGAAATTCAAGTTCGGGAATCAAAAGAAGTAGGCTAGTGTGGCTGATAACAGTTTCAGTGCTAACGAAGGATTATGCCGAACATTTGTTTTTCGCGACAGTACATTCATAGCAAACAGTCTGTTACAGTCTCCATCACATAGCAAGAATTGGACGAATCATAGCCTATCTAGAAAAGAATCGATTTTTAGTTGTTTTATAAACTACATAACACTACATTACACTTAGTTTTCAACATTTTTAAGTGTTCAAATACCGTTGTGTTGTTGAGCATAATATAATTTCATAAGAGTTTTATATAATACATAAAGAAGAACTTCACTTGATCCAGGACATAATATGTTATAAATACTTACAATTGATTATATTTTGTTTAGACCTTTTTTCCATGCTCGAATAGATGATATAGTGCTAATCATCTCGCTACCGAAGCAATTTCTATTGATTAATGTTTGAAATATTTGATTCACGTTGTTGGTTTATTTTCAGTACCTCAGCAGACAAGGAAATCATCTGACACAACAGTTAGTGTAACATCAGATGTCTGTCTTAGTACGAATCAGGAAGTCACCAATAAGATCAAAGAGCTAGAAATATTTGATTTGGAACAAAGCCCAACATTTCACAAGGATTCAGTGAGTAAATTGGATGACCCATACGTACGATTAGCAGCGGTAAGTTTGTCTGATTTTCTGTTTTATGCTTTTATAAAGATTTTATTCCGCTATGTGATTCGTCATTTGTTGGCGCTAATATCGAAATAATCAATAATCAGGTTATAACAAAGTTATAACAGTTTTTTCTGGAAAAGAAAAAATTCATAATCTCAGATACTGATTTTTCCGAACAGTGGAAGTGTGATATTTTGGAAATACTTGTAAAATCTCTTTGCAGATTCTATGAGATTGGTCGCATAGATTGTTTCCACCTAGAAATCAAATGAGCATTTTTTTTGTGGGTCCACTCTGCTACACTAAAATAACCAATTAATTGGAAATTAACAAGTTGCGAAACTTGGTAGTAATTTGTGCAGTAAAGGAATTATTAGAATTTATAATATCATTTTTGCAGGATGCAGCCCAAATAGATATGGCAACGAAATGCCTGCGTACAATATTGCCACGACAGCAACAAAATATAATCAAGCTGTTTGATAATTTACGAATGCCACCAAAGTATTTACAGTTTTCAAGCCCTCTGAGGATCTTCTTGAATAGTGATTTGATAGGAATTAGCTATAGTATATCCAGAAATGAATTAAAAATATGATGTAACTCATTCTATTGTAATTTTGAAGGCTTTCTAACCTATTTTAAGCTTTATTCTTTATTTTATTGCCTCGGAATTTGTTACGTAAAGAAACACTGCAGAGATTATGCTGGTGATGATGATTTGTTGGAGAAAGCTCGGGCTAACTTGAATGCAATCAAAGGTCTATACTTGGAACAGAGGTAATTCCAATGCATAAAATAATTGAGTTCATTTCATAAACGTCAGCATTTCACTTTTTAGAGTTTTCTTTTTGAGTTCAATATATTCCATAATTTGAGGAAAGATGAGCATGGCAATTTATCAGTTCACTTCGCTAATGGTATAGATCCGTTTGGAAAAGCAGCGTGGATGTTGTCCCCTATTCGTAAAGTTCTGGATGTTATGCAAAAGGACGGGTACTAGTTTTCTATAATTTGTCTGTCAATGCGATTTTTCATGTTATACTCGATTTCGAAACAAAAATTTAAAGCATTCATGTTATAAAGCATCCTTCCTGTTATATTTTATTTTGAACAAAAATTCGAACTTTATTCTGGCTTGTCATTCGAAATTGACATACGTAAATGTCGAAATTGATGCCTTTACGAAGTACTGACATCCATCAAAACTCGTTAATATATAAGATGAAGGAGGCTCATTCTTATTTTTGTTGTTTATAGTTGATCATTCCATCTCAACGATTTCATCACTTCGTAAAACAGACACACAGCACAAGGTGCTTCAGAAATCACAATCATGAATATAATTATAACAGCAATGTAATTTAAAATGATACATAAAAGCTGAAAAATCAACTTGTTTTTACTATAATTTACCATTTTTTCATTATTTTTCATAATATTTCGTTATGATAAGTAACAAAAAGCTGGATTTTATCAAGTATGTTAGATTTTTTTTTTGTCACGTATCATAACGAAAAATACCATTTGATCAAGAATAGTTGAGACTTTTCCAGGAAATCAACTGCGCAAGATCTTGTGGTAGTGCGACTGTCACTGTTTTGGACTTTATTAGTTATGGTGGAAAGACCTACTCTGTATTATGCTTTTGTCACGCCTGGTGAAGTTTTTGTTCGTTTAGCGGAAATTTTTGTAATGGGTAAGTATTATGGTATTGTGGTGATTACAATGCTTATTATAAGCAGTTGTTTGTACTGCTAGTTGGTTTTTTGTTGTGCTTCCTTTACTTAGTATTTTTGCTGCATATTTTACATTTTCATTTATATGGGTAGTTTGGTCGCTGAAATCTATTCAGTTTAATAGTGATAATTGTGCGAGAAGATCAATAAACATTACCAGTCCTAAACTTAAAGATTAATATTGAAATAGTAGTTAAAGAGAATTCTCTTACTTACTGGTTTTGATTTCCTTCTCTTCGGGACACTGCAAAAGATTCCAAAACTGTGTTATTAGGGCACGCGATATTGGTATTACTAATCTTTCCCTCCGTTCGTCCTTGCTTCTGTTTCTTTTTCTCTTTCAATCTAATTCGCATTTGTTTTTTTTGAAAAACACTTCGCTATCTTAGGTCTATGAAACTGTCCGTCCTTTGTATTTTGCGTTATCCCCAGAAAAATTAGTTCATCATATGACGATTATTTATGACGTAAAAATAAACAGTGGTATTAATTAACAGTTATTGCTATCCTGGACTTGCGTTGCCATTCAGTAATTTTGATATTTGAAATTGAATTAGTTGTTGCTATCTTCTGTTTCATTTCTTAGGTCCTGAAATTTTCAAAGATGAATGTGTTTCACGGTGTCTGAGTCGATTTTTGCATAATTATTTGGAACCGAAAGCTCGTAAAGGACTTTTGTGCTTGGTATTAAAAGAGCCTATTGCTGGATTGGATGCATTTGGACCATTGTAAGTTGTTTCTGATTTATTCCGAAGCGGATTTTAAATACCAGTTGATTGTTTCAGTGTATAAGCTGTGTAATTTTCCGAAACATTTTTTTGCAGCTACGAAGATCTTCTTCATCATTTTGAAGAGTTTTCTGTGGGCGATGAAAATTTCACATTATTTATCTTACTTGGCGCTTATGCCAATGAGCGGCCTTTAGATAGTTTATTGATGAAGTGCGCTGTTTGGGCACCGGATAGAAATGTTGTTCGACAGATGATCTTAAAAAAAGATTCTGGTGTTAGTTTATTGTTATTTGAATTGTGGCTCTTCGAATTGTTTGGATTCTCTGATTTATTCTTTTGATTTTTATGACCATCTTTCGTTTGACTGGCAATTTGAATTGATGATTTAAATTTTAAAAATCCATATCAAATCTTAGATGAGTTGACTCTGTGCTAATGAATAATCTAATCATTGTTTAGTTGCAAACATGTATTCATTGTCTCGCTTTTTTAGGGTTACAATTTATTAAGAGATTTGTTGAAGTATGCTGATTACATTTGTTTAATATTACCAAGATTCTTAATTTTATTTATTTGCTGTCAGGGTTACTTATCTAGTCAAGCGCAGCTACGGGTTGGCCATCTTTTGATAACATTGCATTAGTTGCTTATCTCCTTATGTTCCGCACTCTCTCTTAAATAGTATATCCAATTCGTTCTTACCAAAATGGCAGCATATCCTATTTCAGGACTTTTTACTGAATTTGGTGACTGCTCGTCAAAAGGATGAGGGTGAAGTTACTGAGAGGAAATATTTTTCTCAGTTAGAAAAGTTGCTTCTTATTTATGCTGCAGCAATTCGGGACAGTATTATTATGAGCAGTCGTAACCAACTTGTATACGAGATCGCATCGTCTGAGTTGGGATACTTCATTAAGCGGCATGCGACAAGAAACGTCCATGAGAAGATTGCAAGTTTCTTTTTTTTCATCAATGTTTATCTTTCATTGATTTTATGTTAAGGCGTCACTGTTAAGCAAAATCTGACGATAATATAATTTTTTTATGAATGATTAATTTGCCAGTATCCGATATTACCGTTAACACTACAATAATAGTGCAGATTTAGAAAGTAATTTGTCTGAATGTTTTTTTCGAATACAAAATGAATGTCTCACATTTCAGGACATGGAAGTAATGAAGCAGTACAATACTTTGGCTGTTACACTTCAGCAGTCTTTAGCCGGTTGTTCAGATTTTCCAGTTGAAATGAATCATATCCTTTACTTATTTGTAATTCTGTCTCAGTACTTTTACTCATTTTATTCGTCTTGTGGTTCTCAACATTTGCGGAAGATTTGAAATAGAAAAATATTGTTAAGTTGAAGAATTAGAATTTTAATTCTCTGAAAAACAAATGAAAGAAAAAATTTCCTCTTAGTTTTTTTCTTGTTGGAGTAAAATGCGCAATTGATTATTAACATATCCCTGGAAGTAAGTTGATGTTCGTCAGAATGTATTTTAGTTGCATACAGCAAGGTTATATATAATCCAATTCAGGTGCTGTTAAAATTTTGCCATGATATAACTGTTCATGTTTACCTAAACCGTGATTCTAAAAATTAATAAAAAAATTTCATCCTTACTTTTGTCTAATATTTCTGAGCCTCTAATTTGTCTCATCCTTCTCAGTAAATGATAGATAAATGGGATTGTTCTATATGCAGATAATCCTTGGTTATTTTTGAAATTGTCAAATCGCCTTTGTCCTTTTTCAAGTGGCGCCTCTTGACTGATGTCTCCCAAATATCATGTCCCCCAAATAATCGTTTCTACTCCTTTCTCCCTTATTATTCCGAAGAAATGATGGTGTACTAACAGATCAAGTGCAAATTTACTCAGTACTTGAGAAATATGCAAATCTCGAGATCTTCTATTTCATTCATAATAAATGAATTATCAGGGAATTATAACATTGCTATAATTTGTGTTTCTGTTGATGGGCGGTGAAAAGATGGTGAAAAGTGTTATGAGTTCACCCACTCGTGCTATTTCTAGCGGAAATGTCTCAACTGATTCTACCTCCAGAAGTTCGACAACTATCAAGTAAACATCATTACCATCCAATTCAATTAATTCCATAGTGGAGAAAGAAAGTGCTTTTGAGTACTTGATAAAGCCTAGGACCCTTAAACAAATAACTGCTGACAGAAAAAAGTAAATGAGGGCTAGTTAGCAATTAATTAATTAATTGGATGAAATTGGTACCAAGCAAATATTTTCCAGGTTACGATTGCTGGTTAGCTTACTTGTATTGATAACAATGGGTTTGATATGCCAATTATGCCAGATAATGTGCTCGGATAGTGGTACTTCTAAAATTGCTAGTCTCCTGATTTTATTCATTGCATTTTTTGGACATGTCTGGATGAGTATACATTCGTGTGCATTAACCAGGTTCATACGTTATGATTGTTTCATGTTTTATTGCTATTGAATCTTTGGTTAAATTGATAATTAAAAAAATGATTAATTAGAAATTTAATTAAAAATCTGAATTTTTTTTTTTTTAAACAACATTCAACCATCTTATAATATATACTTTTACTTATACTTAAGCTTGTCAAATTTTCGCAGCTGCAATCAGCAGTGTAATGACTTATTACACTAATGACAATAGAGAATATGGAAGAATTAAATTCTTTCCATTTTATTTATTTTTTATCTTTAAAGATTTGATAAAAAAACATAAATAGAAGATAGAAGGGTCAAAGATAGGTTAAAAGGTCAAAGATAGAAGGATTAAATTTCAGAGCTCGAAAAGCTTTTTTCGATGAATCAAATGTATTGGAAACATATCAACCACGGGCAAGAACAATGGGACATTTATTTTGTGTACGTTGAAATCATTTTACATTATAAATGATAAACACAATGTGCTTATTAATTATTTAAAAAAAAAAAAGTACATGTAGAAAACTACAGAAAAAGAATATAGAGAAAACTATAGAAATATAGAAAAACTATAGAAAAAGAATATATAGAAAACTATAGAAAATTTTCCGCCGGGAGAATTTGTAAACATAGCTTCTCAGTCGTTAGTGGTATTTGACAATATTTATTAGCATATTCATAATAATGGAATAATAACCATTCTAATATTTGTATCCCTTCATGGTATATATTTTTTTTTCTTTTAATTCAGAAGAAACTCCAAGAAACTAACATTAAATGACCAAATTAATTACATTGAACTGATTAGCTAGTTATATTTCATTACTTTCAATTGCTATATTTTATGCAGCCTGAACCACCAACACCAGCGCCAACTGTGAAATTTTCGGAAAATATTGATGAAAACAAAGAGAAGCGATCCAATGAAGAAAATGCCGCATTTAATGCTATGCGAGATTCGGTTTGTTTTGCTTTGTAAAAATCTTAAAATATTGGACAAAAATTTGAATAATATTATAGAACATACCAGGCTCTTTTTTCCTTTTTAGAAATTTTTGAATTCTAGGATTTTTCACTTTTCCATCTTTCTAAAGATGTAAAATTTTTTTCGTCTTTGCGGTTTTTTTTTTTCGTTTTGGAAACTTTTAAACTCAATAGATCTTCCACTTTTCAATCTTTCTGGAATATGGCAGGCTCTTTTTTTGTCCTTTAGAAACATTTGAACTTCGGAAACTTTTCTGTACAGTATCCGAAGGTAATGCAAAGAAGTACACTCATTTTGCAGCATTATGCAAATATGTTTGAATATGCTATGAAAATGCAAAAAGAAATGCAAGCAATGGAAAAAGCCAGTAATCAACCTGAATCAACTAGCTCATCAATAACCGAAACATCTGTAACACAAACCTCACAGTCCCAGTCAACTCCTGGCCAACAACAGTCAGCAAGCGATTCATTATCACGAATGGAAAATCCATCTGATAAATCATCACTGTAAAGAAATGTTTATTTAAACTAATCACTGGGATCACTCACTGTTTTTAATTTAAAATTAAACCAATTAAAATTTTCAAATGAAAAATTTAAAAAGCGTTTGTTGTGCAGTAAAATGTTCGACAAAAATAATGGACAATGAGAAAAAAAAAGAATTTATTGTTAACTTTGGTTCAGAAACAGCTAAGCTAACAATCATTGGAAATTCTTTTTCTTTTTTTGCAGTAATATCACAGCTGATGAATTAGTTGAGATTATCACAGTGTCTGTACATTTGTCGTCACACCTTACCCGCTGAATGATTTTAGGGAACATTATAGTCAGCTTTCCATTAAGTTTCTAGATTGATCCTTCAGGAAGAATGATACCATATACTGCTTCA